CGTTAATTCTTTTCAAACAAAAAAATTACGCTTTAATGCACATCATTTTAATATGCATCTAAAGTAGTATCATTATTTTCTACATCTTCATCTGTGATGGGAGGCTAGTGCTAGGCACAAGGATGGTTGAATACAATTATAAATAATAAAACTTTTGATTTATTATAGAAATTCTCTTTGAGAATTTTTATTCATATTGAGACCCTTCCACTTGCCGGTGGAGGGCTGCAAATTCAGACCTATACTCGGCACTTGGGTCTTTTACGTAGTTACAGATATTTTTCGTGCCAGCACCTTCTGTGAAAAAGAACCTCGGTTTACAGTTCTTTTCTAAAGAATCGGTCTGAAGGTCTCGAAGTGGGATTTGAACCCGCAACATAAGGATCAACACTTTAGAGCAAACTATTTTACCACAACGCTTGGAGAACTACATTTACTTTTTGTGATTCTGCTTTGAAACAAATTTTATGTAATTAAATGTTCGAAAAAATAACCAGAAGCCCCTGGCATACGACGCTCACCTGAGTGACATTGGCCATGCTGTTCTTCACTAGATTTTCCCATTTGAAAAACTTAATGTGTCCTCACCCTACGCCTTGGGGTCATGATATCAACAATTTAGAATCCACGCTACCCGTGCATGCTTTCACATAAGATTAAACATTTTTGGTCCAGAGGTTCTTGAGAAGATTTTTTAAAAAGTTTCCTTTATATTTCTATGTAAAACCTGGATTCCCTATTGTGCCATCGCCCTACCCCCGGGGGTCATGATTTGATTAATTTAGAACCAACACTACCCGAGAATGCTTCCATATAAGTTTCAATTTTTCTGGCTCAGCGGTTCTTGAGAAGAAGATTTTTAAAGATGTTTCCTATGTATTTCAATGTAAAAGATTGATTCGCTATTGTAGCTTCTCCCTAACCATGAGATGTTATAATTTGATTAATTTAGAATCTACACTACCCCCAAAATGCTTTTACATAAGTTTGAGCTTCCCTGACCATGTGGTTCTTGAGGCTATGATTTTTTATTGACCTGAACCTATTTTTGTGGGCTGTCCATTTTAACCCACAAAGCAACGAGGACGATATTTGCCTTTTTTGTGATTCTGCTTTAAAACAACTTTTCTGTGATTAAATGTCCGAAAAAAATAACCAGAAGCCCCTGGCATACGACGCTCTTCTGAGTGACATTAGCCATGCTGTTCTTCACTAGATTTTCCCATTTGAAATACGTTATGTGTCCTCACCCTACGCCTAGGGTGGGGAGGGGGGTAATGATTTCAACAATTTAGAATCTACACTACCAGTGGATGCTTTCACATAAGTTTAAAACATTTCTGGTGCAGAGGTTCTTGAGAAGATTTTTTAAAAGAGTTTTCTATATATTTCAAAGTAAAACCTGCGTACCCTATTGTGACCCCGCCCTACCCCAGGGGGTCATGATTTGAACAATTTAGAATCAACACTACCCCAGAATGCTTGCATATCACTTTCAACTTTCAACCTTTAATTTTTACAGGCTCAGGTTATTGAGAAAAAGATTTTTAAAGATTTATTCTATATATTTCAATGTAAAAGATGGATTTCCCTATTTTCCCCCGCTCTATCCCCCAGGTGTTACAATTTAATCAATTTATAATCTACACTACCCCAGAATGCTTCCACATAAGTTTGAGTTTTCCTGACCAAGTGGTTCTTGAGAAAAAAATTTTTTAATGACCCACCCTATTGTTGTCTATTCTTGATTATCCCCCATTTGTAAATTGGCTATGCTGTCCTTTTCAATAATTTAAACTTCAATTTACCAATGATGTTTTGTACCAAGTTTGGACGAAATTGGTCCAATGGTTCTTGAGAAGAAGTTGAATACGTGAAAAGTTTACAGATGGATAGAAAGAGGTGATCAGGTGAGCTAAAAACTGAATTGGAAAATATGTTGATAAATTGAATTTTTTTTTATTTCGGAAAAAAAGTCAAACACGGTTTCAGACACAATAGAAAGAAATAAAACTGTTGAGATGAGGATGCCTTTCTCAAAGATGTAATGAATGGTGCCCATATAACATGTTTTCATAAATCACTCACTCGGGATTTTTTTAAATAAAAGAAATAAAATGAAATCTTTTTTAATGATAAAATACTTCTACAAGAAACTTTATGATGAAGACTTTTAGACTTTTTTTTAGATGTATTAGAAAAACTCACACATTTTTCAAGTTAAATGTTTTAAATCTGACGGAATGCCAAAAAAAAAAATATCTTCGAAAGGATTAAAAGTAATACATATGAAACGATCACATTTTTGCGTCTTACATTAAACACAGAATAACAAATCACTAAAGGAGTGAGAACGTTTTTGAACGTGAAGTTTAATCAAGAGAAATTCTTCAACTGTCCGGGTTTTTGTCATTCTTCTTAATTTCTTTCTTAATTTCTTGGAAATTTGAAGACAATTATCATTAAAATTTTCGTTTTAGTATTCGACACATATAAGAAGGTTAAAATGGCGCTAATTAAGTTAATTTATTACAAGTGAAGTGTCAACGGCATCAGCATTCAAAGTAAACAAAATATTACATAACAGAGATTTCATCTTTCGTCAAATACATCAATATTTCTATTTCTATTTTTTTTTCTCTGTGATAACTCTTTGCAAAATAGCGGATTTGATGTCTTGATAATTCTACCGGAATGTAATTATATAAATTAGGCAGGTCGATAGGTCAGGGGCTAAGGATGCCTAATATGCATGCAAATCTCGTGTGCATCTGTCTCTGTGTCTAACGCTAAGGAGACAAAATATGCAAATTGGCACGGGAGTCCTCGTGTAATTTAAATCTATGTCTACATTTTTAAAGTCTAAATCTAAAATTTTAATTCACAATGAAATGGCAATATAAGGAATAACTCTCTAGTTAGTATAGAATGCCAAGGACATCAACGATAGTGGGACACATGAGATAATTTATGTCATAACGAGCTTCGCCCGTCATGCAAATCATCCCATGTTTCCCACTATCGTTGATGCCCTGACATACTATACTAACTAGACGTACATTCTCGGATCCCTTCATAATTCAACCGAGTTCAATTTGTTATACTGGTTACTGAGATAACACTATTTTTCTTATGAATATACGTTTGCTAAAGCCTCTATATCAATTCATAATTTGAAGATTGTAAATATTTTCCCCGATATATTTCTGGTATGAGTGTTTAAAATTGGTTGCTCAAAGAGGAAAATTCACTGCTTTGTCGTACAAGATGGCAGGGTAGAACTCCGAGGCAAAGTAGGTCAGAAGAAAGTCAAATGAGATATTTTTTAATTGGTGTATGAAACATATGGAGATAACGAACAGTATTCCAGATCAAAAGTCCTTAAAACAATACAAGATAGGAGCAGAGCATACACGGACTTCCAAAACATCAGAGGTTTGATCAGGTGCTAAAAGGTGTATAAAATTAAAAGCTGGATTCGCAAAAGTATGGATCTTCCTTAAGTTCAAACTTGTTTATAATTTAAAAAAAAAAATATTTTTAAGATATTCTTTACCCTACTCTTTTGCAAGTTGTAATTTCAAGTGGTGTATGACACTTTGTGTAAAATGCAAGTGATATCATGACGAGATTTGTAAGATAACCAATTTCATTTCATGCTAATAAACAGTGTATTTGCGTAGAGAAAATCGATTTCTCCTTTATATAATAATATAAAAGCATATTTTAGAACAACACTTAAACTAATATAACTGTCCCAAGTGAAGAAATATTAATATCGAAAGCACAACGAAATTCATTTTTATAAATATACCAACTACGGCCCCAACCCGGGGTTGAACTCTCAATCTCCCTGACAAAAATTAACTTTAGTTAACTATAGTAAATACTTTGTTTTACTTTGAAACTGTACTCCAGAACTTTTTTGATGAGTTAGAGCTTTAAAATTGTTAAATTACATGTATACAAACGGTGTACATTTTCAAGATAATATGCAAATATACAACTTCAAGTAAAACTTCCTTTTGCTGTAAGAAAATACATGTAGGATGTACAGTTGTGTGCCAAAAGTGAAGATAATTTTATTTTTTTCTTATATATTTCATTGAAAACAATATTTTGTAAAATCGCTGGTATGACAACATTTATTGACAGATTTTATAAAAAATTTCTTGATTATCCAAGAAATTGTTGTAGTTAAAAAAAAAACAAAAGTTTTTATCTGAGAAGCATTGATAATTTAAAAATATTGTAATTTAAGTGTGACATGAATTTTTAAGTCATATACTCACAATGAATTATATAGTCAACATTGATCTTGAATTTTAGAACTGATGTTTAGTGATGAATTATATTTTACTACATATTAAACGTGTAATGATCTTTTAAAGAAAGATAACTACACATTTTCTGGTTTAAGTACTGAAATAGATAATTAAATTGGACAAAAGTTGACCATTTACCTATGATTTTACAAAATGTTGTTTTCAATGAAATATATAGAGAAAAAATAAAATTATCTTCACTTTTGGCACACAACTGTAGAAATTTAAGAGATAAAATATAAGATACAACGATCTTTATTCAAAGTAAACATACCTTATTAATTCTAGTAAAACTCTGATAGTAAACTGTAGTTAATAATAGTACACTATAGTTTACTTTAGTACTTTTTTATTATGGGAACCTACGGAATAGCAGTAACGAACGGCGTTCTAGACCGCTCGGAAATCTAGGTAAGTCAAACAAGGATAATTCGTAGAAAATACCTTCCGTAAATAATGACCTAACATTAAGTATGAAAAATGTTCATGAGCATTTCACTAATTACTAGATTTTATTTGTTGATAAGCTCAATATATCAACCATAGAACTTGCCAAATGATAACTTTAAACGATACTGTTGTTATCCTTGTTTCATAAGCATGTTTGTTCATAGCTTGCCTCGTTTTAGAAATTAATTTTAAGCAGAGCATGTTTTTGCGTATCGAATTAAGAGAATGACATATATCCCGTATGCAGGTGATAAACTTTAAGGTATAATTTTAGATAATTAAGGACAGTTGACGAATGAAAAGTTAAAGTTATCACATTGTTGTTAGATTATCATTAAAGTCTTTTGAATAAAATATCCAAGTATAAATAAGATATGTCAGACTCTGTGAATTGTTTTATTTTAAGGTTAGTTTGATATATCGAGTCGACATATGGATGGAATTAACTATTGTTAATTGAAAATACAATTTATCGATATTAATTTATCGTAATATCGAGTTTAAGTCCACAGTAAGTGTTTTCTTCATCACATAGATAAAATTGTGAAAAGATTTCGGTTTGTGCTTATAATGTTTATTATTCAACCAGTTAAAACATCCTTCAACTATTTATGTTGAAAAAATCTGTTATAAGAATATCTTGATACTTCAATTTCAATAATTTTTAAATTATGAAATACTAGTAAGTAGCAAGTACTAAGTGCTGAGCGATTAAAAAATAAGAGGCCAAATCCATAGAATCAGATGGAGATTTTCATAAAGATACAAATTCTTACCATTTCAGTCAGTAAAAAAACAAACACTAATTTTCTAAATGTTGTCTGTAGGACAGAATCTGTATAGTATACCATAGAATATTTAAGAAATGAATTTAATTTTTGAAGATTCATGAGGTTATGAACTACAACTCTTCACGCCGGCATATTTCATGATGCGCGTTAGCGCTTCATGATAAATATGCCGGCGTGAAGCGTTGTAGTTCATGTACCTCATGAATCTTCAAAAATTAAATTCATGTCTTATATTTACATTATTTTTCTGATGACTTGCCATAAATTTTCGCCATTCAACTGTCATTTTTAAAGCAAAACAGTGTGTGTTGATGATAATCTTCTTATATGTGACGTTAAAGTGCATGTGACATTAAGTAATTATTTCTATTATGACATCATCTTAATTATGACGTCATGGTAATGTCATGTTATGCAATGTTTTGAATAATCAGTCTAGATAAACAAGTCAATGTGATTAGAGGTGTTTTTCTTTCTATCTGACTCAACATTTGGTGCCGTGGCCATTGGGAAATTAATAGCAAACTACAATAGAGATGGATGTGATCAAGTTAAAGGCACAGCGTTCAGGCCATCGTGGAGTTATAACCAAAATTTTGAGGAGAATGAAGATGAAAATGGAAAAGCTGAAATGATCAAGATACTGGAAGAGAAATGGGACACATTAGAAAAAATCAACAGCCAGATTCTACAAGAACTAGAGAAAGAGGAAGAAATTCAAATGGAGATCGAAGATTCAGATGAGTACATGTTACAATTAAGACTGAAATTAGCAGATTTAACAAAGAATGGGAAGGATTCTGAGAATTTTAATCAATCTACATTTAGGAATTTTTAAATGTTAATGCACCACAGTTCATTCTAAAAAGTGAATCATTGGAACCCAGCATAGGAAAACCTAACATTCAAATTCATAAACTGACGAAATTAAACCTGCCAAAATTTTCAGGAGACTAACTTGAATGGCAAACATTTTGGGATTGTTTCGAGACAAGCATACATGGGAACAACAGTTTATCCAATGTAGGAAAATTTAGCTATCTACGATCATTGCTCTGTGGGGAGACACTTCGCACTGTATCTGGATTCAGTTTGACCAACACCAACTACAGACAAGCAATAGATGTTTTATTTGAAAGATACGGACAAAATCACAAAATCATCAAAGCCCATATCCAAACTTTGATTGACATACCATTCCCAAAGTCTAATCCGGACAGTTTGAGAAACTTCTTTGACAGAATGGAGTGCTGCATTAGAGCATTAGAAGCTTTAGGAACTGATGAAGCCACCTATGGGACAATTTTAACTCCAATGTTATACAACAAACTACCAGCAGAAATTCGGAAGAACATCACCCGGGACAAAGGAGATGATCAATGGGAACTGCATTCACTGAGGAGAGCCATTAAGAAGGAGCTATGTGTTCAAGATGCTGGACAGGCAATGCACTCAAAACAGGAAGCACAGGAATTCATTCCAACAGCTAACTTTGTTGCAGGGTCAAGCCATATAAGGACCAACAAGCAGGAAATCGTGAAGCAATGCTTATTCTGCAATGGAAATCATTCACCAATCAATTGCCATAATGTCCAAGACTACGATAAGAGAATATCAATCATCAAACAGAAGAGAGTGTGCTTCAATTGCTTTGGAAATCACAAAGTAAGTGAATGTCAATCAGATTTCAAATGCCGGAATTGTAAGAAGTTTCAACACACAAGTATTTGCAAGAATTCGCAACTACCTCGAAGTTCCTCAGAGAGAGATGTTACAAAGTCCGAAAGCACACAATCGAATCAAACCCGTCAACGAGAGCAGTCGTTCCAGCTTCACTCTTCAACACAGGTGACAGCCAACACTGAAGTGCTACTGAAAACTGCTGTGACACCAATTTGGTATGGAAATCAAGAAATCAGCTGTAATATATTGCTTGATGAAGGGGCTCAAAATTCTTTTATTACCGAGGAGCTAGCACAGAAACTTCATGTTATATCAAATGGAACCGTTACCCTAAGAATGTCAGCATTTGGAGACAAAAATAGTGAAATTTGTCATCTCGAGAAAGCAACGGTACAGCTATAAACACAAACTGGAGACAAAATTCCAATGGAGGTCATCATTATTCCAAAGATTACAGCTCCAATCTCAAACAGATCACGCGTCAATATCAAGGAACTCGCATACCTTAGAGGATTAAAATTGGCACACCCGGTTAGCACAGAGGAACAGTTCCACATTTCAATGCTCATCGGCGCGGACTACTATTGGAACATAGTAGGGGATAAAATCATCAGAGGAAATGGACCCACCGCAGTAGAATCAAAGGTTGGATATCTAATATCTGGACCTATCCACTCAACAGGACTGATTGGGAGTGCACATTCTAGGATACAATTTGAAAACCAGATTTATGATGTTCCTCCCAGAGGCATATTTATTTCAAAATTTTTGAGACAGATATATCAAGACGATGAAAGAATTACTAGAACTGAGCACGAGATATTTCCAATTTCAAGGTCATATCAAGGTCACTCTGATACAAGCAGAATGAAGTCAAGGAATCCTCAGAGAGATCCCAGATTTGTACCACAACAGATGGTGGGCTTCTATACTGTATTACATGAACTGAGCAGTGAGCAGTATGGAGCCTTGGAGAGCGATGAAAATAGACAGTAATATAGGAATAGAATGAGGGAAGAACCAAATGAAGTAATTCGTAGGGAGAACAGAGTTCACATACAAAGAGGCAGAGGGACGTACAACAGACTTGTCAACAGAAGACAATATCACTGAATCAGAAGGACAGGAACCAGATGCAACAAAATCAAAATTGGAGACGTCGTCCAAGTCCATGATGATTTCACAAAACGCATCAATTGAAACTTGCTGTAGTGGTGGATCTCATAACTGGCGGAGATGGACTCAGAAGATCAGCAGTCTTACGTTTTAGTAACGGAAGCATATCAAACCGTTCCATTACGAAATTATATCCCCTTGAACTAAACGAGTCAGATTCCAAAGTGAGGAGGAGTGAAAGACTTTCAAGTTAAATTTTTTTTTGTAAAACACAACGCGAAATACGAACTGTCTATCATTGTAAATTATGATTATTGACATTTTGCGGCCCGGAGTATGTTGATGATAATCTTCTTATATGTGACGTTAAAGTGCATGTGACATTAAGTAATTATTTCTATTATGACGTCATCTTAATTATGACGTCATGGTAATGTCATGTTATGCAATGTTTTGAATAATCAGTCTAGATAAACAAGTCAACGTGATTAGAGGTGTTTTTCTTTCTATCTGACTCAACAGTGTGCACTATATTTCTTGACGTCAAGTGCGGCATTATGACGTAACAATGGAGATATCCATGCTCATTCGTGGTACACATGTAATGTAGTTCATGAGAAAATGAACTGCATTTTATTTTGTAAAGAATCATAGGGTAAATTTATTGGAAATGTAAATATTAATTGATAAAGAAAGATGGAGACGCAAGATTTTATTAAAATGCTTTAATCATCAAATGATTGCACACTGATCTCTTCAACTTTGATTTTTTTAAAAATTCTGTTATTGTTATTTGGCCGGTGACCTGCCTTTCTCCATTCTTGTCCTTTTAGTGTCAACCATAATCTGTAATATGCACATGTATAATATAAAGATTGTATCATATTTGAATTTCTGTACGAAAGTTATAGTAAAAGCCCTTACATTTTATTCTTGAAACAGAAAGATGATAAGGATTTTGTAAATATTTAACAAACTAGCAATGTTAAGAGGAAAGAGCATAATTGAAAAGAGTTTAAACAAAATATATTTATATATTTAATTTCAAATTCACATAATATGTATCGACATATACTCACTCGGCATAATATCACAGCAGTAGCCACGCTTAAATGGGAAAATGGACACAATTTGGCAAAATTGTCCGCGGTTACAATCGAAGTCATTGTAACACAACATTTTTGGTTCGCTAGGTGGATGCCAGTAAGCTGAAATTTAGAGTTTGTAAATTTAATTTTAATTTTTTCGAAGTATTTAAGATGTAATATCCCTCTGATAAGAGAGATAAAGTTCTGAAGACATTTTTCCATGAAATTCAATAAATTGTCTTGTCAGAATATACATAGTTCTCTAATGAGGACCATTTTTATAGTCAGCTCAAAACAATCTAAGCTAATTTACAGTTGTGATTTTTAGTTTCTATTGCCAATATTTTTAAAATTATCTATAATAGTGTACCTAAAACATTTATACTAAGTTCCTTTAAACTGTGAAAATTGAAATATTTCAATCTCTCAATGTCTTTTAATTGTTTCATAATTTCAGATGCAGAATTGTTTACATCGTCGCAAGCCACGGGTATTGTGTCCATTCTAGTTTGTGGAAGTAGAATGGACACAAAACCCGTGGCTTGCGACGATGAATTGTTTATAAAAATCAAATTAATATTTTGTTTCACTAAAAATATTTTCAAGGGCGATAATGGAAAGATAACTGTTGTTGATGCATATTATTTTACAAGCACAGAAAGCATTTTGATATTCTAATTTAAAAGCAACGCTTCGTTATGTTTTTTAATCAGAATTAGACAGGTATGACATTAAACAATACTTTCATATATACCTCATACTTTTAATTTAATTGTAAGATAAAAATAATATTGATATTGATATTTCTAATTACAATATCAAATTTTATTCACATCATCATTAGACAAAATATTCATTTCTGAAAAGTATGCAACACTTCATACTTTAAAATATTTCCCATTTGGGTCTTGCGCTATTGTTATGGATGAAAATCAATGTATGGAATTAAAAAAAAATAAATTGGTGAAATTTGGAGGCAGAGGGATATTTCACCTTAATAAATTTCCAACTGAAAATTGAAAATTTAACTCAGGTGACCATCATATCTTTAAATCATTCATATTCATTAAATGAATTATTTATCATTATTAAAACCTTTTTATAAAAAATACAATATGGTCTCTTTTTTGGACGGGGAGGGGGTTGGAAAATGAAAAAAATCTGTTTGACAGCAAGATCAATGCGCTTTTAAGTGAATTCATGAGAGAAATATAGTGCAATCTTATTTTACAAAGAATATTATAAAAAGATTATTGTAAGGGGCTTAACTATTGTTTAACGTAACCATTAGAGAGATCTAAATATCTATTGTGTTGTTATATTATTCTTTTAAACACATTGATTTCAACAAACAGTGTCAGGGCAAAGTATTAAGATCATGATTTGAACTAGTGCTAATTGTAACGGGGACCGTTACAGATGTTCCCCAAACGCTCCCCAAATCCCTTTTTGTGCTTAATTTTTGTTAGACATTTTAAAAAAATATAATCAGTATCTAAGGATTTCATTAAAGAATAACAAAAGCTACAATGATATCAACTATAGTCATTTAACGCATTGTTCCTGCATGTACGTGCATGTACATGCAAGATGATCACGGCATGTTGTCTAAGCAATCAACATATCTATATATCGTGAGAATAAATAAAAAAAATCTTTACAATATACATTTTAATGTTGTTTTTTTTTTATATTTGCCATTTTGCGTATTTCGCGCGTGCATGAATGTATGTTCTTGCATTCAGTGTTGATAGTGCCATTATGTAGGAATCCATTATACCTATTCATATTCTAAATTTTATCCCGTTTCGTTGAAAACTAAGAAAGTTATAGATATTTAAATTTTCAGCCAATCAGATTGCAGCAATCATGCATGCGCATGCTTTTCATCATAATTCTTATATACCATGCTGTAGATCTTCATAAAATATAACAATGTTCAAAATTTCATAGGATTTTGAAACCATGAAAGATATTGAGACTTTAGTTTCAGCCAATCAGAGCGAATGCACGTGCATGCTCGTGAGATCTTGCTATTTTGACCATGTCCTCTAGTCTATGCTTCTAATATATCCTTATATTATAAGTTTCAAAACGTTCCATCAAAAATTTAAATAGTTACGTCTATATCAATTATATTGGACATTTCTGGCGTTGCACGTGCGCGCTCTTGCATGTATACGTGCATCCACATGCCTTCATGATACTTCATTTATATCAGGCTGTAGATCTCCCTGATGTATGACGTTATATTCAAAATTCAAAAGATTTTTTCAAAAAACAAGAAAGATATTGAGACTTTAGTTTCAACCAATAAGAACAAAGCGCACGTGCGTGCGCGTGAGATCTTGCTATTTTGACCATGTCATCACGTCTGCACTACTAATATATACTTATATTATGAGTTTCAAAGCATTTAATCAAAAAATAGAAAAGTTACGGCTATATATATTATATTGGAAACGTGCACGTGCGCGCTCTTGCAAGCACGTGTGCGCAAAATGACCTTCGTTCCGCAAATCTACATAACATGCCTACTGACCCTAAATAGGTTTCAGCTTAGTCGGATGTGTATTTTACAAGATCATTCGAGGAAAAGATTTTCCCAGGAAGAAGAAAAAAAAAATAATAATAATAATATTAATAATAAGAAACAGAGTAAAAACAATATGTTCCCCAACTTCGTTTGGGGAACATAATAACTGGGTGTACTTAAAAACAGAAATGAACAAGAGAGAGAGAGAGAGAGAGAGAGAGAGAGAGAGAGAGAGACAGAGACAGAGACAGAGACAGAGACAGGGAGTAGAAGTGAACTTACCGGTCGTCATTGCCACCAGACAAAGAACTGTAAATACAACCAGGAGTTTTCTCATGTTGTCACTGCAGATAACTAGAGGATCGAGATTGAAGCCTTATATACTATCAGAGTACCTACACCCACCAATCAAAACGTCTTCGGAACAATTTCCTTTTTGAAATATTAAAAAAAATCCCTGAAAAGAAAAGAGATAAATGACTTTAACCTTTTGGAAAACCAAATGATAATTACATGTTTTTTAAATTAATGTTATCATATCTTTGGTTAGTTTTACATATCTTGAATATATAATTTTATTTAAAAAAATCAGAATTTCTTTTCTTTCTCTGAAAAGTCTTTAAAGGTTTGTGTAACATACCTTACCGTTCATATAACGGGAG